CTGCCTGGGACATTAGCGAGGCGCTCGGGCCTCGCCTCGCCTCGCTCGAGTGCCTAGGCGAGCGCCCGAGCGCCTTTTGCAATCACTGTGCACTGGGTGAGAGGATACTGTTTCAATTGAACATAGAATTGTTAGAATTCATTATCATGGGCCCTCTCTTACATTAAACCTTTCTAGTCATCAAAGAGGTTTTTCTTTCTCATATGTCATCTTCTTGAACTGAACACTTGTTCACATTTTTATTATGATTTGACATCAATACTCTATCTAGTTTGCTCTAGCTAACCAGCCAAGGTCTTAATCAGACTCGAAAGGAACTTTGCAAATCAATTTGAAACATGGGTCATCTGAATTGTGGAAAGGGTCTTAATCAAACTCAAAACAAACTTTACAACTATATTTGGAATATGGGGCATCTGGATTCGTGTAGATTTGTAAAAGTTGAGGTGGAAGGTTCCATACCACTTAAGAATTTTGATAAAGAAGTTGTGCAAACAAACATGTATGCTGCAGACATGGGACTGGAAGAAGATAGTTTGTCTCCACGATCATTATGTGTTATATTATTTTCTTTCAACTTTTGTGGGTCTGTTAGGTTCAAACCTGGTGTAAAAAGGACACTAGCCTTTTTCTATCCAACATAGAAGATGAACCACATCGACGGTGTTGTTGCATTACACTGGTTCAAATAGTCAGTATAAGCAAGTTAATGAAGCTGTTTGATTAAATGCTTTGGATGTAATAAAGAGTATTCCAAGCAGAAAGCACATACATGAAAACAAAGTACACAACTGTGACTAAGATGCTACTTATGCTTGAATGCGTTTTAAATAAGGCAAATCCTATAATGCTCCAGACAACTTTAACTGGGCCTTGCATTGGTGATTGGCCAAGCAGCTGGCATCATTTTTGGGGCACCGTTCATGGTCAATTACATGGGCCAGGACGGTGCAAGGCTTTCACAAGCCTCAGTTTATGATGGTTAGGAATGCCAAAAAAAAAAGTTTTAGCAATGATATAGTTTTATTTATTGAGAAATTCAAATATTCCTGTCATTTGATATCGATTTTTTTTACTGCAGTATGATTTTGTGAAGCATTTCAGAGAAGACCTACATAGGCGACTTTTAAGCACAGATTTTAAAAAGCAAGTAGATGGGCTTGAATTATTGCAAAAGGTCAATTTACTTTTTTCCTTTTTAATAACAATAAAGTTGTGCATGTATCATTTATAGATTTTATTCTCACCAACAAAACTCGTCATCTTTTTGTTCATGTAGGTTTTACTGTCAAATAGGAAAGAAATAATTGAACTTCTTGACATACTCTTAAGGTGGTTTGTTTTGCGGTTGTGTGAGTCCAACACAACATGCTTGTTGAAGGTAAAAATTTTTGAGTCTATGTTGCAATTGTTTAAGAGTTCAGAGTACTTTAACTTTATCTGCTTAAACATGACATGCAGGTGCTTGAATTCCTTCCTGAGCTTTTTGGTATTCTAAAGGATGAGGGTTACACTTTAACTGAGGCAGAAGCCGCAATGTTTCTTCCATGCCTAATGGAGAAGGTTCATTTGCATTTTTTGTGTTTCTTTTCTCTTATGGTTTGATCAAACATATAACTGTGAGAACTTATAATGTTAAGAATTCTCTTCTTTTGCTTCATTATTTAATATTTACAAATTCATCTGTCCTTCATATATTTGAATCATATTCTATAGCTGCTGCATGTTACTTTATGTGTTCGATAACTTGATCTTGTTCTGCAATGCAGTCTGGTCACAACATTGAAAAAGTCAGGGAAAAGATGCGTGAATTGATGAAGCAAATTGTTAACATTTATTCAGCTTCAAAGTTCCTTCCTTATGTTTTGGAGGGCTTGCGATCAAAGAATAATCGTACTCGAATAGAAAGTGTTGATTTCATTGAATACTTGATTGATCATTATGGAGCTGAGGTCAACTCTAACCGTCATACTTTGCCAGTATTGCTCATCTGCAAACTGCTTATTGATTTCTTTTTGCAGATTAGTGGACAATTAAAATGTTTGCAACTTGTTGCTGGGTTAACATCAGAACGAGATGGTGAAATCAGAAAATCTGCTCTTAATACAATGGCTACTGCTTATAAAATTATTGGTATGTGTCTTTGGTGCATTGAATTTTCAACAGGTTCTAGGATTGTTCTTTCATGGCTGAGGGCACCTTAATTTTTGATAAATTAATTCCCTTTGGCCATATATGGTAACAGAAGAAAATCACCAAGTTGATTGCCTGATGATATGTTTGTTTAACATGATTTGTTCCTTTCTTGAGCAGGGGAAGATGTATGGAGATATGTTGGAAAGCTATCTGATGCACAAAGGAGTATGCTAGACGATAGATTTAAATGGAAGGTCGGTATATACTTTTCCATCATTTGCCTTTTTGACATGAGAGTCGTAGAAATGTCTAGAATAGTGGTAAGCTAGATTTATAGTGTCATGGGTGCTTCCTATTAACCATTACATTTCTTTTGCTCTTTTTCTTATTCTTAACATGTCTTGTTTTGTTATTGTTTAGGCTAGGGAGATGGACAAGAGAAAAGAAGGGAAGCCTGGAGAGGCCAGAGCTGCTTTGAGGCATTCAGTGAGAGAGAATGGGTGACTCTCTCTCCCTCCTTTACTCACTTTCCTTCAGTCTTCCTCTTCTCTCTCTCTCTCTCTCTCTCTCTCGCTCTCTCCTCCCACTCTCCTTGGGTATATACATACATGTGTGTGTGTGTGTGGTCCTTCATCTACTATGAAAATATATATACGGTTTTTAACAAAAGTCCCTCCCCTTGCCCCCTTGACGCCCATGCTACCCATGGAACACACATTCATATAGGTTTTGCTTCTTGTCCTGTCGGCAGTAGTAAAAAACCAGAGGGATGTAGCGCCTTTACCATCCTTTATGACCTAAAGCAATCCAACCAGCTTTGCCTTTTTTCTCTGTTGGACGCTTTAAAAGTGATGTAAATGTAACCACATGGAATGGCAAGGAGCTGAGGAGATAGACGTGTCTCCAAGTCTTTTAGTAGTTTTTCCTTCCTGGCGCTCCCTTACATTTTTCTGAAAGAAGACTTTTTTCAGGACAAATGGGAGCTCTTACCTTTTGATTCTTGTAGATTACGCTGTCTTGTTCAGTTCATATTGGAATTTCATCCTCCAGGTTTTCTGGGTGAGCAAGCATGCTTCATCTTTCGTGCTCCTGCTGCTTTTGATCTAGAAAAGCTTGGCTCGCAGGAGGCTCTCTATGGAACAAAATTGCCAGCCAAGCCCCTAAAAATGAGAGCAGGAACCAAAATGGTAGGGTTTGTAAGCAGCTCAAGCATGGCTGCAGTAGTAAGTGAACCTTCTTCAAAAAGGTATAGAGGATAATCTACATAAGCAAAAGGTGGATGCCTGTGCCTACCCACCTCGTCTCAAGTCTGATAGTATGCCCTGCCAACAAGCACCAGTGAATCTTAAGTCAGCCAGATAGTTGAATAGAGCGTGGATAAAACAGGGTGCTATAGTTCCTTTTCAAAATGAAAGGAGGCTGATCAAATAACCAGTCTGAATTTCAACTTTTTCCTCGATGAATTGCATTTTGCTGTACTAATCTTAGAAAATCTTAACATAATGGCAACCTAATATATTGGCACATATTGTTTCACCATTTTCTTTATGCTAACAAGTCAAACTCTTGATAAATATTACTAGATTGAAGCTAAAATATAGTAGCAAATTCATTTTCCACATTTTTATTTTTTTTAGATATGATCATCTGACTTTTTAAATGCTTATTGACTAAAGTTGATTATAAAACTATAATCAGCTGAGTTGATCCATCATTCACCAGTAAATTTATATTAATTTTGGGATTTTGACACTAGTGAGAAAATAGTAAAACATGATTTCCCAGTTTGTCTATTGAGTTTTTGTAACTTCATGATAATGACCAGACAACTTAGGATAAGTAGATCTTCCATCACTGGGTTTTATTTTAACTAATCTTCTTTGGATTGGCATACAACTTATTTGAACTTCCGTCATTGGTATTTTTTCATGCTATTTTAAATGGTGCATTGTTTCAAAAAATCTGGTAGAAATATTTATTTAGGATCACAATTAATGCCATCCTTTTTTGGTGTTTGGTACTGAAATTTGTTTGCTATTCTTTTATTATTTCGGTAATATTGTTTGCAATTTTCTTCACATACTTTGCTATGTTAACATGTGTTTTAATTTCTTTGTCGATTTGCAGTCTAGATGTAGCAGAACAGAGTGGAGAAGTTTACTTACATTCTGTCTCTGTTCCTGTGGCAACAAGGTATGTATAATTCTTTGAAGATGTAATAATGAGATTTGAATTCTGATAAGAACCACTCATATGTGCATGATACGACTTTGTTATTTATTCCTTTTTATCTGTTTTCTTGATAATGAACTGTTTATCGGTAGGGAAAATGATGTTTATGCTGACTCCGACGAAAGGCACATTTCAGCTCGACAATTTGCTACTGCACATGGTCTCACCGACTGGCTTAAAGCTATTGATATCATTGCAATGGGTTCACCTGAACAGGTTCATTGTTTCTTGGATTTAACCACTACTTTAATAAGCATCATGGAGTAAATTGTCGGTCATGGTAATCTGAAAGAAACTTTATAACATTAGAGTTCTTGGGTTATTTGCCTCAGGTATCACATTGCTTCTCCATCCATCAACTTGCTTTTTCTACATATACTTTGGGTGTCATCAGACTTTCAGTTTTTACTTAATCAATACAAAGTTACTTTGTGTTCATCCCCTTCATTTTTCTAATGCCTTTCATTCTTCTTTTTGGCCTAGATCCATCTCAGGTTGGCATTAGTGATAAGACCCTAAGGTCTTATCGTGGAAGAAAGGGGAGAAATGGAAGAAAAGAGGATGATCACTTTGAGGGGATCGACCTCCTAGGGTTTGTCATAACAAACTGGAATAATATTTCATTAATTGATTGATTTAAAGAAAGTGTTACATCACTATTTATAGAGTTTCACCTAGAGTCCATCAGGACTTGGACTCTTAATAATAATTAAATATTAAATAAACTTCTACCCGACTCTAACTGAACTAAACAGACTCAATAAACAACTGAACTAAACTGACTCAATAAGCATTATTCAAAAGCTTAGAAAAAGGATCCTAACAATTCCTCCCTCTTCAAATCAGCCTTGTACTCAAGGCTGAGCAGCATCAAACTCGAGGAGCTTTTTTTTTAGCACTTCAGTCATAGGCTATCTGCAACACATCACAATCCGTTGATCAAGTAAGTATGGTCTCCACTTTTTTATAGTGTAAGCAACAAGTCGGTCTTTCAGTGTAGTAATCGTTGCAAGAAACTCCTGGCCCTGTATAATCAATATTATCTTTGAACATTTACTATCACAAGTTAAAATCCGTCCATCAGCGATCTTTACTTCGAATTTGCCACAACCTTCAATGTGATAAGCTAATCGGGCTACAACTTTCCTGTCCATAAAATTATTAGTGCTACTAGTATCAATCAAAACTATAACAGGCTGATGTTCTAGAGTTCCGCCAACTTCCATAGTTTGCGGGTTAGAGTAGTCGGCTAATGCATGTATTGTATGTATGGTAGGTCTAACATCTTCATTAGAATTTATACCTTCATGATCGGAGTCCACATTCTTAGCTTTCGGTTCCTCTCCAATTGGTTCAATCATCAGAAATTACCCTTGTTTACATCGGTGCTCCATACTCCACTTTTCATCATAGTACAAACCCCTTGCTGATCTTTCCTTGCTAATTTTTTTTCTCATGTAGATGTGCAAATGAGATCGCAACTATCATAGTGCGGGGTTGACGAGCCTTAACTTCACACCGGACCTCTGGAATAAGCCCTTCAATAAATGTACCCAGAAGTTGTCGGTCCGACCAATCTCTAGCTTGATTTGACAATCTTTCAAACCTACTATGATATTCCAACACTGTAGAAGTCTGACGAATTTTGGCAAGCTGACAATCAACATTCTCATATTCGGATAGGCCAAATCGAACAAGAAGCCCTCTTTTGAACTGCTCCCACGAAGGAACTTCGTGGAAAGTTTCATACCAATCGTACCACTGGATTGCATCTCTATCGAGCTGGATTGAGGCCACTTCTACCTTAGATTCTTCTGGGGTTCTGTGAAATCGAAAAAAAATTTCTGCCTTAGAGATCCAACTAGTCGGATTCCCATCTTCCCATCTCGGAAATTCTACCTTCATGTGTGAGTAGTTTGTGTCATAATCTTGGGGCCCTTTTTCTGTATTTTCAGATCTGTGCAACGTAGAACTTGAGCCCCCATTTTGTTGAAATTTGCTGAGGCTCTCCAATAGGCTCTTTTTGGAATCATTAAATGTTTCTTGCTGTCGATTCTCAATTCTGATTTCCAATGCTTCCATTTGTGCTTTCACTGAGTTATCGGTGGCTATTGCGTAAGATTGCAAATCTGTAATCTCAACTCCTGTTTTTGATGTCGGTTAAGGGTATCAGCACTGTCGATGCGAAGTTGTCGAGGAGGTGGACGCCGAGGGCAGTGCTGCGGTTGCTGCGTTGGAGGAAGAGTTGCTGCCCTGTTTCTGTTGCTACGTGGGGTGAGAGCACCGAGGGCTGGAAGGCGACTGCATCGGTGTGGCTGCAGCTGCTGTGACCCAAGGGGGTGATCACCGAGCAACCGGGTTGAGGCTGCGGTGATGGCAACCTGCAGTGACGGTTGCGACCCAAGGGAAGGCAGCGACGATGGTGTGGCTGGGGGCAGCGCCGCCAAGGGCTCGCCGCCGCGGTAACTGTGACGGTGCGGATGGGAGGCAACGATGCTTGTTGCAGTCGCTGCGTGGAGGGATCGCTGCTGTTGAGGGCTGGGAGGCAGCGATAGTGGTGTGGCTGGGGGTAGCTCCGCTGTGGTGGCTGTGACGGCGCGGATGGAAGGCAGCGTTGCTCTGTCTCTGGCGCACTGTAGAAGGAGGCGCTGGTGACGCCGAGGGATCACGTGCAGTTGAGGAAATGGCGGTGGCTACGATGGTCGTGGTTGCCTTGTTTTGATCGCCACGTGAAGGGATGGTCGAGCGATTGTGGCTGCGACCCAAGGGGGGGCAGCGACGGTGGCGCAGTTAGGGTAGCGTCGCCGACGGTAGAAGTGACGAGGGGGTGGTCCGCTGGCTGCGAAGTAGCGGTCGTGGCCCTTCTCGCTCGAGCGAGATGGGGCAGCGAGGGGGCGAAGGTCGCTGGCCGGGGAGCAGGGCTGCGGTGGTAGAGCGGCCAGGAAGCAACGACGATGGTGGAGGAGTTGCCTTGCAGCGGTGGTGGGGAAGAAGGGAAGCAGCGGTGCGGCGGGCTGAAGCAGGGGTGCGGGCTGTCGGGAAGCAGGGACGACGGTGCTGGAGAGGGGAAGGTTGGTGGTCGGGGAGCAGCAGTGACGGTGGTCGAGCGACCGGGAAGCAGTGGCGGCGGTGGAGAAGGAGAAGGAGGCAGCGAGGGTCACGGCTACGATCGACAAGGGGCTGCGGCAACAGAGGAAGCTCTGTTCCTGCAACCACTGCAAGGAGGGGCTGCGGCAACCGGCGACTGTGACCAAAGGGGGGGTTGCCACGATGGCGGACTAGGGAAGCGTCGCCGATGGTAGAAGCGACGATGGGGTGGTCCGCTGGCTGGGAAACGGCACCGGCGGTCCTTCTCGCTCGAGCGAGATGGGGAAGCGAGGAGGAGAGGTCGTTGGCCGGGTGGGGGCAGTGGCGGCGATGGTGGCCGCTTGTTGGGCAATAGCGGCGGTAGTGATCGCTGACCGGAGAGCAGCGGCGGCGGGTGGGCTGGCCGGAAGCATGGGAAGCAGGGGTGCGTGGCTGCGGCTTCTTCCTCATCGTTTCCTCTTCTTTTTTTTTTTACGATGAAGATAACTGTAGCGAGGGGCCAGCGGCGGCAGCGGTGGTGGTTGTTGGCTAGGCAACAGCAACGGTGATGGAGAAGGGGCAACGATGGTCGTTGGCCGGGACGTAGAGGTTCCTTCTTGATTGAGAAGGATCGACGTTAATGGTTGTCGGCTTCGCCGTTCCTCCCACAAATTTCTCTCTTTTTTTTTTTTGATAGCTAAGACAACACTACAGCGAGAACGCCAAGAATCATCGCTCTGATACCAAATGATAAGACCCTAAGGTCTTATCGTGGAAAAAAGGGGAGAAATGGAAGAAAAGGGGATGTTCACTTTGAGGGGATCGACCTCCTTGATCGCTTCGAGGGGATCGGCCTCCTTGGGTTTGTCATAACAAATTGGAATAATATTTCATTAATTGATTGATTTAAAGAAAGTGTTACATCACTATTTATAGATTTCCACCTAGAGTCCACCGGGACTTGGACTTTTAATAATAATTAAATATTAAATAAACTTCTACCCGATTCTAATTGAACTAAACAGACTCAATAAATAATTGAACTAAACTGACTTAAGAAACATTATTCAAAAGCTCAGAAAAAGGAGGCGCTGGTGACGACGAGGGATCACGTGCAGTTGAGGAAATGGCGGTGGCTGTGATGGTCGTGGTTGCCTTGTTTTGATCGCCACGTGAAGGGATGGTCGAGCGATTGCGGCTGTGACCCAAGGGGGGGCAGCGATGGTGGCGTGGTTAGGGCAGTGTCGCCGACGGTAGAAGTGACGAGGGGGTGGTCCGCTGGCTGCGAAGTAGCGGTCGTGGCCCTTCTCGCTCGAGCGAGATGGGGCAGCGAGGGGGCTAAGGTCGCTGGCCGGGGAGCAGCTGCTGTGGTGGTAGAGTGGCCAGGAAGCAACGACGGTGGTGGAGGAGTTGCCTTGCAACGGTGGTGGGGAAGAAGGGAAGCAGCGGTGCGGGCTGCCGAGAAGCAGGGGCGACGGTGGTCGAGCGACCGGGAAGCAGTGGCGGCGATGGAGGAGGAGGCAGCGAGGGTCACGACTACGATCGACAAGGGGCTGCGGCAACAGAGGAAGCTCTGTTCCTGCAACTACTGCAAGGAGGGGCTGCGGCAACCGGCGACTGTGACCAAAGGGGGGGCTGCCATGATGGCGGACTAGGGAAGCGTCGCCGATGGTAGAAGCGACGATGGGGTGGTCCTCTGGCTGGGAAACGGCACCGGCGGTCCTTCTCGCTCGAGCAAGATGGGGAAGTGAGGAGGAGAGGTCGTTGGCCGGGTGGGGGCAGTGGTGGCTACTTGCTGGGCAACAGCGGCGGTAGTGATCGCTGACCGGAGAGCAGCGACGGCAGGTGGGCTGGCCGGAAGCATGGGAAGCAGGGGTGCGTGGCTGCGGCTTCTTCCTCTCATCGTTTCCTCTTCTTTTTTTTTTTTTACGATGAAGATAACTGCAGCGAGGGGCCAACGGTGGTGGTTGTTGGCTAGGCAACAGCAACGGTGATGGAGAAGGGGCAACGGTGGTCGTTGGCCGGGACGTAGAGGTTCCTTCTCGATTGAGAAGGATCGACGTTCATGGCTGTCGGTTTCACCGTTCCTCCCACAAATTTCTCTCTTTTTTTTTTGATAGCTAAGATAACACTACAGCGAGAACGCCAAGAATCATCGCTCTGATACCAAATGATAAAACCCTAAGGTCTTATCGTGGAAAAAAGGGGAGAAATGGAAGAAAAGGGGATGATCACTTTGAGGGGATCGGCCTCCTTGATCGCTTCAAGGGGATCGGCCTCCTTGGGTTTGTCATAACAAACTGGAATAATATTTCATTAATTGATTGATTTAAAGAAAGGGTTACATCACTATTTATAGAGTTCCACCTAGAGTCCACCAGGACGTGGACTCTTAATAATAATTAAATATTAAATAAACTTCTACCCGATTCTAATTGAACTAAACAGACTCAATAAATAATTGAACTAAACTGACTCAATAAACATTATTCAAAAGCTCAGAAAAAGGGTCCTAACAATTAGATCCAAAGTTTTGTCTGTGTAGAGAACTATGATTTGATGGTGGGTCATTTGAAAACAAACCAGAGGAACATGAAAAAACTATGTAGTGATAATGATAAAACTTTATGAAAAATAGCATAAAATATGAGAAAAATGAAGATATTATATGCGAAAATGATTCGTTTATCTTGATATTTCATAAGGTGTTTAACTTAAAAAGTATGAAATTAAAATATAAAAGAAAAACATCTAAAAACTATGAATAATGCATGAATAACTATTCATGCTGTAATTATCAAAAAATAAATACGACACATATCATACAAATATACTATCATATGTATTCTTTGATAATATATGTATGAGGCAATACAAAGACAAATAAGGAAAACGATTATGTGAAGAGACCATGCTATGAATTTGAGACTAGAATTTGGATCCCACGGTAGCCCTCTTATTATTACAATCATCCCTATACTTTTTTTCCTTTTCTTTTCACTCTGTATCATATCCAACATACATGATTGTGGACAACAAACATTGCAACACTAATGAGAAAACAAATATGATTGTTTTAACAAATAGCAAATGCAATACTAGTGTCTCTTATTATGTTTCACAAAGGCGTGAGTTTCTTTTTCTCATACTTTCGTCTATGCTTCCCTCTTGTTTTCCTTGCACTCATTTCACTTATCGACTCCTCTTTTTTTTATTTTGAGGTTGCTTTGCATGACTCGGGCTTGATAGGCTAGTTAGCCTATCAACTTAGTTTGGTTCAATCATTGGCCAAAATGCTTAAGCTAAAATTGAAAGTAGTATACTCATTAGACCCTTATAAGTCAATCTTAATCTTGCCCACTTTCGATATGGGACTAATTGGGATGCTACGATCTCCTCCACTCAAAAGCTTGACGTTCTCGTCAAGGTTCAACATAGCTCAGATCAAGCTCTAGTATGGTGCATGTGAGTCGTAGCCCAATGGTGGCTCTACGTAACGAGTCCTCTGACTTCATCCACGGGTAGTCCTTTCCTACTTGAGCCTCCTCACTATGCCCAAATATTAGGTCGGCTCTGATACCAAATGTCATGACTCGGGCCTGATGAGTTAATTGGTCTATTAACTTCATTTGACCCAATCACTAGCCAAAATGTTTAAGCTAAAGTTAATAGTAGAACACTTATCAGACTCTTGTAAGTCAATTTTAATCTTGTTCACTTTCGATATGGGACTAATCAGGATGTTACACTGCTAAATTTGTAGAATTGGTCAATAACAACCAACTCTGATTGAGAATAACCAATTATAGCTGATATTGATCAGTTTTTTATCAAAAGGCTGATAAATCATCCAAAATTAGATTAGTCTTGGATGATGCTAAGGTGTATCCGCCAATTGGACTTCTATTTCAGCATAACTCATTTGTTGCATCTTGAGAAAGCATTTCCCCCACGTACTTGTTGAATTCACTTCTGTTCAGTTTACATTACATTTGGAAGGTTATTTAGATATATTTATTATATTATATTTTCAGTTTCTTGATAGTTTATTGGTTCTTTTATGGTTTAAGATACATTCTTTTACTTGAACACTGGAAAGAGTTATCAGATTGACTAAAATTGGGCATGCACAAGATGGGTTGGATCAGTTCTGTTCTTAAGAATAACATATGCTACTTCAAATGATGCATTTCGTTGTTGTCATATTATCTGAACCTACTATATTTTGGTGCTTTTTCTTAGATATTCTTTACTTTGTTGCAGTCAGTTGAAGGTATGAAAGTTATATGCCATGAGCTAACACAGGTCACAGGTGACCCTGACAGCGGTTCAATTGAAGATATCGCTAAAGATGCTGATAGATTGGTCTCCTGCTTGGCGACAATGGTATTTGAACCTGTTATTTGTTATCCTCAGCTACAGATGTTACTGTTTTTCTGCTCATATCTCCAAGGTCAACTTATGCAGGTTCCTAATACCTTTAACTTCAGCCTCTCTGGAGCTTCTTCAAGATCTTGTAAATATGTGCTTAATACACTTATGCAGGTGTTTATTTTTCAGTGAAAATTTTTATTTTGTTTTTCAGTCTTGAACAGAATTTACGAGAACTAGTTTTCTGCAGGCCTTCCAGATCAAAAAACTTGCACATGCTGTGAAAGAGAATACACTAGACAACCTGATCACTGAACTTCTTCTTTGGCTTTTGGATGAAAGAGTGCCTCTGATGGATGATGGTAGCCAATTATTGAAAGCACTTAATGTTTTGATGCTCAAAATTCTGGTTGGTATTGTGTCTATTATACTTGTACTTTGTCTTTTATTTTCCACTCGTTATATCATTGAGTATCTTTATTTGAGCAGGATAATGCAGAAAGAACATCATCTTTTGTGGTGCTAATTAATCTATTGAAACCTTTGGACTCCTCGAGGTGCTCATCCCCTGTATCTTCTGAAGCACTCATTACCAGGAATCAGAAGTTCTCAGATCTAGTTGTTAAATGTTTAATTAAGCTGACCAAGGTAGCATTTTAACAATACTTTGAAGCTCATACATAGTCCACTGCTCTTTTTTTCGTTTTTCTTGTCTTTTGCTTCATCCAAGGTAGCCAATACAGGTTTTACAGAGCACAATTTACGAAGTCGATCTTGATCGTGTTCTTCAAAGCATTCATGTATACTTGCAAGAACTGGGAATGGAAGAGATACGGAGGAGGTAGATTTATTGTTTACTTGTGAATTAAGAAATTTATCAGTTATTTTGCTATCATTATATACTGATCCAATCTAATGTTACTCAGGGCTGGAGCTGATGACAAACCACTTCGGATGGTTAAAACTGTTCTGCATGAACTTGTGAAGCTCCGTGGTACAGCTATAAAGGGTCACCTTTCTATGGTACCTATAGATACAGAGCCTCAACCTATCATTCTTGCTTATATTGACCTAAATCTTCAGGTAAAGTTAACAAAGTCGAGAAGCTTGAACCAGAATCATGTTTATGTGATTAGAGCTAGACTGATATATGACATGTTGCATGTTCAGACGCTTGCAGCTGCTAGAATGCTGACTCCATCTGGTCCCATGGGCCCAACAAATTGGGGTGATACTGCTTCAAACAGTCCAACTCATGCAACACATTCAGCAGATGCTCAACTGAAGGTGTTCACCTTTGGTGCTAATGACTTCAATTCTTCAATTTTTGGTTTTGTATTTTTTTTACTCTGCAAGCTATAACTTAATTGACTGTAGTCTGTTATGTGACTTAATGACTTTTGATTTTCTTTTTGTTTCTTAAATTGCAATAGCAAGAACTTGCTGCAGTATTTAAGAAAATTGGTGACAAGCAAACTTGTACCATCGGACTATATGAACTCTACCGTATTACTCAACTCTACCCCAAGGTAAATACTTTAGTTAGAATATTCTGATTTTCATATGTTCAGGAGGTTTGTAACTCTTGTTCTTGTGTTATATATGATGAAATTCTCTAGTTATTTTATAGGTAGATATATTTGCTCAGCTCCAAAATGCTAGTGAGGCTTTTAGAACCTATATTAGAGATGGATTGGCTCAGGTGAGTATTTTCTTTCTTTCCTGAAGAGTTCCATCCTAGCACTGTGAAATGTGTTTTATTGTTTTGTTATCGTTCCACCAGATGGAGAAGAATGCAGCTGCTGGAAGGACACCTTCTAGTCTTCCCATGTCAACTCCACCTCCCTTAGCAACTCTCCCATCTCCAAAGTTTGGAGCCCTATCTCCTGTACGCACAAAGTCAATTAGTGCAAAAAGTGAAAGCATATACTCTAATGTTGCTGTTCCATATGCGGAAGATGATGCTGGTGGGACAACAGCAGCTTTGAGGGGTCAAACTGATCCATCAGAGTTTAGGTCTCACTTAGGAGATGATCGCATGGACCGATATCCAGCTGGTTCTCTCTCTCTCTCTCTCTCTCTCTCTC